AGATGGATTGGGCCTCAGACCCAACGAGTTGTTGGACCATACTCCCATATTTCCTATTCATACCCCCATCCCCGTTTTTTGTTGTTGTTTGTTACTGATGAAGTCTTGATGGGCTGGGCCCAGAACGTTTCTGAACTACACCCTCCAGTCTACCTGGCGCACCCCTTTGGCTTTTGTTTTTGTTTTTTATTTTCTTTCTGAATTTTGTATTGTGGGCTTAGGGCCCAGTGGGTTTTTTTTACTGCATACACCCAGTTTTGCAGATTGTACCCCCTCCCTTTGGATTTTCAAATCCCTTTGTATTGGATGAATGCTTGTAATAATTTAGTTTTAGTTTCCTATTTTCTTTTAGGAAATTATTTTTAGGGATTATAGTATTATGCATATTTTTTTAATATAGATTTAATATAGATTTTTTCTGTTTTCTTTATAGAATATTATAGTATTTTAGATAGAAATTTTCTATGCTGTTTTCATATGCATTTTCTTTTATTTTCTTTAGAATATTTTTCTAGTAGATTTAATTGTTAATTTTAGGAGTAGACTTTTATTTCCATTTGTTAGTGGATTTTTCTCCTATTTTCTCTCCTATTTTCTTTTATATCCGATTTTGTCTCTGATTTTATTTCTGGCTGGCCGTGTGACACGATTCAATTGGAGAATGATTGTCGATATCATTTCTCTATCTTGTCTTTGACACGGATATTAATACGCTACCTCTGAGAGTTCGATTTCTCGTATAAGTCGAACCATGACGGTCTAAGCGTCACATTGTTCCTGATTCGAGCGTCATCATCAAGGATCCCGAGAGGAGAAGATTGGAATGGAGCTTGCGCGCATGTCAGGAGCCAACGGAGCTGATTCGTTCAACATCATCTTATTCAAGTCTTCAGGCAACCGTCGAGTGTCGTGAGATCGTTAGATACGCAGGAAATGATAGTTGAGGAGTTTCTTCTCAATTGTCTAGGATGTATAGTATGGTACCCTTTGGGTGACATGCGACGCATTCGCTCCTACGTATTAGGTTCGTGCGTGTGTGTCCCGAGTTTCTTCCTGTTTAGGCGTAAGCCTGCTTCCTCGTTGTTCTCGCCCTTGGCGATCGAAACCCTTTTTTCTCTCGCGTTTAGGCGATTGAGACCCCTTCTCTTGCCCCTGTGCAATTGAGACTCGTTTTCCCGCCAAACTACGTTTGCTCTGATCTCTCGTGCCAGACGAGAGTACGTAGGCATAGGATGCGATATCCTAGCGAGCTACCTTTTCCCCCCTTTTTCTGTAGTTAGCTGAACTACAGCTGCTCTGATTTCTCGTATCCAGACGAGAATATGTAGGCATAGGATGCGATATCCTAGCGAGCACACTAACAACTAACTTCTTTGTTCTCTCGCTACCGTGCGATCGAGACTTTCCCGCTGACAACTGATGTTACCTTTCTCTTGCCCGAGCGCAATCGAGACCAGACCATAGTTCTAAGTTCCCGTAGGTTCCCGTACCTCTAAAGTCAACTTAATCTCTCACTCCCGTGTGACCGAGAACACCCTTTGATTACCCGTAGTAAGCCTGAACTACGTAAGCTCTGATCTTTCACGTCGTGTGGAAGTACGTAGGCATGAGATGCGATATCTTGGCGAGCCCATTTCCCCGTAGTTTCCCGAACTACGATGACTCTGACTTTCCCATTGCACGAGGGAATACGTAGGCATAGAGTGCGATGCTCTATCGAGTCAATTTCTTTCCGTTTAGCTTTAGCAGCTGTAGATAGATTGTTTTTTTCATCTTGTAGACAAACAAACAAGCGTGGATCCCGTCGAGTACGACAGACGTGAGGGGTGCTAGTACCTTCCCCTTGCGTAACCGACTCCCGAACCCAGACAATGGTTGCGATGACCTTGTCTTATACCCTTCCGTCAGGTTTTTCCCGATCGTTTCCTTTCCCGCTCTGAGGGATAAATAACAAAAGGTGGCGACTCTTCTGTTTAGCCGGCGCCGATTTTCGCAGTAGCGACACGCGGTAACAGTTAAGGACCGTTTTCCTATACCGTTTTGCTTTTACAACGCTTAAACAACAAATGACTATCACACCAGTCTTGCATCTTCCAGACTTCTCTCAACTTTTTGTGCTTGAAACTGATGCTTCTGCAATTGCAGTGGGTGCCATTTTATCTCAACAAGGGCATCCCTTAGCCTTCTTCAGTAAAAAACTTTGCAACCGTCTCCAAGCTGCTTCTGTGTATGTCCGCGAGATGTACGTCATCACTGAAGCTGTCAAAAAATAGCGTCAGGTGTTAATTGGCAGGCATTTTCACATTTACACTGATCAGAAGAGTTTAAAGAACTTATTGACCCAAACTATACAAACTTCTGAGCAGCAAAAACGGGCCGCTAAGCTTCAAGGTTTCAACTTTGAACTTTTTTACAAACCTGGAAAATCCAACCAAGTTGCTGATGCTCTTAGCAGAATCCATCTTGAATCCAACTCACTGCTACTGTCCATCTCCTCGCCAGTTCCACTCCTCATCGACCAACTCTGACACTACTACAAAACAGACACAGAAGGTTAGAACATCATGAACAAAGTCTTAACTGACCCAGACACACACCCCTTCTACTCCATTAAAGATGAACTACTTTACTACAAGCACAAAATTTATATACCTCTGATTGATGACCTCCGTAATAGCATCCTGACCGAATTCTATTCCACCCCTTCCGCTGGCCACTTTGGGCTTCAACCGACCTTAGCCCGTCTGTCATCCTCCTTTCTGTGGCCTGACATCTACAGTGATACAAAGCATTTTGTTAAACATTGTTCGACTTGTCAGCAAAACAAATATTTAACAAAAAAACAGGGACTTCTACAACCCTTACCCATACCAAATCAAGTCTGGGAGGACTTATCGATGGATTTCATCACGCATTTTCCTCAAATACAGTGTACCATCCTGAAATAGATAGACAAACAGAAGTCGTGAATAGATGTTTAGAGACATATTTACGTTGCTTCACAAGAGACCGACCAAAGCAGTGGTACAAGTACTTACATCTGGCGGAATTTTGGCATAACACTGCTTTCCACAGCTCCATTCAGATGTCACCGTTTGAAGCTCTCTACGGACGCCCTCCACCGTCTCTTTCTCCTTACACGACTAGGTCCGTATCTCTTGATGACGTGGATGTGTCCCTACAAAACAGAGAGGAAGTCCTTAGAACTTTGAAGAGTAACTTAGAATACAACAGAAAAAAGATGGAAATTCAAAGTAACAAGAACAGAACTGACGTTAGTTTTATGGAAGGTGATATCGTGCTGCTTCGCCTTCAACCGTATCGACAATCCTCCGTACAACGCCGCGTCTCGAACAAGCTAGCAGACGATACTATGGCCCTTTCAAGCTCCTTTGACGGATCGGAAAAGTCGCCTACCATCTGAACCTTCCTCCGTCTTCACGCATCCACCCCATCTTCCATGTCTCTCAGCTTCGCAAGTTCTTTGGTGAAGATCCGTTTGCTTGTTTCGTTCCTATCCCTTCAGAGTTTGAAGAACAAAACCAACATCTTCTCCATAAAGATGCTCAAGACAGACCAAAAACGGAGCTGTTTAACTCACATGCAGACGCTTCTCTAACACATGTGAAAGTCACAAATATTGAAGATGGAAGTTCTGAGAAGTTAGAAAGAAACTCTGTTTTGGAAAAAAAAAGGAAGATGCAATGTTAGAGAGGAAGTCAAGAACATGGAAAAGGGAAGTACCAAAATTAATGAAGCAAGTGACCAATTAATACACCTTCCTGACTCTTCCTTGCCACACGTGGAGACTATCAAGAATCATCATCATGTAGCTGACACGCAGCAACCTGTGCTTTCCGAGACCACATCATCACTGTTCCCTTCCTTGCCTCGTGATTCGCACCCACCGCCCTTCATTAATTCTTCAACGCCACCTGTCCCACATGCAACCCTCCCTCTGCCTTATGTGTTAGCCTCTCGTCCTCCCTCTCATGCAACACTCATCACACATCCTTTGTCCAAATGGGCCAACTCTTTTGCTCAACCCACCACACCTTCTAAGCCCAACCTTGAGGACAAGGTTGTTGTTGGGCCGGATAGTATTGTTAGTAGGCCCATACGAACCAAAGCCCAACCAAAATGGATGAAAGATTATGAGATGAAATAGTTTATTTTTATTTACTTCTGCATATTTTCAATTTGGGCCTATTATGTTCTAGCCCATTTAAGTTGATGTATTTAAACTCTGTTACCCTTCTTAGGGGAGGGCAGAAAACCTAATTGTTTTTATTATTACTCACTTTTTATCTTTCTTCTAATTGTGCAAATCTTATAATAAAACCTTAGATCATTTCTTGAATTTATTGTTGAAAATATCCCTCTTCTATCATTCTTGACAAAATCATATAGTTGAAACATTTTCTTAATGGTCAAACACAACACCCTAATCAATAAAAAAACATAATTAAACATTTCATCCCACCTACATAATAGCCATGTCATGCCTGAAACAATCGTCAAACTTGTTAATCTTATAAAAAGTTAAGCGACTAATCTAAAAGTAATTGAAAACACGGAACTATGAGAAAAATCGATCTAAAATTAATTAACTAATCAATGATACAAACAAACTTGTTAATATTATAAAAATGAAACGATCAATCCAAATCACAAAAATAAAAAATAATCAATCACAATAAAATAAAACAAACGATGCAAGACAATTTTTGCCATATTTTTAAATTATCTGTCGGGTAGATATTCCAGTTGGGCCATGTGGGGTTCAGAAGAAGCCCAGTTGTCACCAAAACAGATCTGAAGCTTTCAAAAATCATATTACCATCATCATCATCTCTCTTTCATTTTCAAAAAATAAAATATATAAATATATATATATATATATATTTGTATTTTCTTTCTTTCTCCGAAAAAAGAAATAGAAGAAAAAAAAGCATTTTCAATTCACCCTAGATTTTCTCTCTTCTTCGCAAGAAAACGCAATGGCTTTCGCTTCTTTTCTCGGAAGAGTTCTCTTTGCTTCCATTTTCATTCTCTCTGCTTACCAAGAGTCAGTAGTTTCCTCTCTTTTTTATTTTCTTGATCCCTAATTCGTAGCGTATAATATTCATTTTTTTAAATTTTATTTATTTATGAAATTAGAATAAGTTTCTGAATTGTGATTGAGTTTTTTTTTTTTCATGGATTTTCTTTTTGTTGACTTGGTTGTTGTTGTTGGATCCTTTATGTTTAAGGTTTTAAACCTATTTTATTGGTTAACTATTTGATTAGATCTATGTTTATGTTTGTGTTTTGTTCTGTGAGGTTTTCTAGACAGTGTTTGTTTGATTCAACTTTTATGCTCTAACTCGGTTATAGTGCATGGTACCAGATTCGTGTTTTTTTGTTTTGTTTTGGAAACATGTTATTATTAAATGAACTATTCTGTGGAATCTGTGTTTGTTGCTAATGTAGTAGTAACATGGTATCAAACAATTTCGTGACTTTCCTAGGTTGCTGTTTTTATTTATTTATTTCATTTTGTATGGTTTCATTGGTTAGAGATTCTTCCTTGTATGTGGCTTGTTGCATTGATCATATGTTGTTGTTACGAAGTAAACATTGTTACTGTGATAATGCTACATAGTCCATTTTTTTGTGGTATATGAAGTTTCTTGGTTATGTCTCTTGTTTTTTTTATTATATAGATATAACGAATTTGGAGTGGATGGAGGACCTGCTGCAAAAGCACTTAAACCAAAGTTTGATACCTTTGCACATCGAATCCATTCTCAAGTTGGCTTTCAAATTCCAGAGATTGATGTTAGCTCCTCTCTCCCTCCTTGTTTATGTACAAATGTTCATTTGATAATGTTTTTGCATTTTTCTGTTATAATACTAAGGCTCTGATCTTGCTTAAAATATGAAAAATTTCTGCTGAAGAAGTTGTGAATGTTACATATACTTCGACTTTTCTTCCTTTTTGCTTATTATTTTGTCTCCGCGTGATCCCTAATATAACTGATGTGGTGAGCAGACGAAACTTTTAATTACTGGAGCTATTGCTCTGAAGGGCCTTGGCGGAGTTCTATTCATATTTGGAAGCTCTTTTGGAGCTTTGCTTCTGGTTTGTAGTCAGTTTCTCTATTGGATGCCATATTCATCTCACTAGCTCAGTTTCTTAAGTTTTTTTTTTTTTGATGTAGCTTCTGCATCAGTTGATTGCTACTCCAATTCGATATGATTTTTACAATTACGACAGCGAGGACAAGGAATTCACTCAGCTTTTCATCAAATTCACACAGGTCAGAGCAATGACTTGTTTTTTATTTTAAATTTAGTTTCACGTCTGCGCACAAATTCAAACGGCTTATTATAAATGCAATACAATCACTCGCTGCAGAACATGGCTCTTTTTGGAGCTCTGTTGTTTTTCATCGGGATGAAAAACTCCATTCCTAGAAGGCAACCAAAGAAGGCTCCGAAAACAAAAACTTATTAGATGCTGCTATGAAGGATGCTTCTTCAAAGAATGTCTTGGTTTGGTTTGTTTCCAGGTTCTTCGTCGTCTCGCCACGTTTCAACTTGGTATACTCTGGTTCGGAATTAATCTCTCCGTTTGAGTTTTGTAATTTTGTTTTCATTACAATTAAACTTCAGAGAGTCAATTTCATTATATTGTAGTAATCATGATGTAAGGATCTCAAAGTCTTGGGCATTTAAAGTTACCAAAACAGAAGAAAACTTTTGCAATTAGTGATATATTAACAGAATTTTCGCAATCCATAGGGTACACAAATAAGACCAAATTTATATGATCGTTCAACAAATTACTACAATGAATCTGATTAAGAATTAGCTAATGTTTATGTTCCAATTCTGCTTGACCCTGAGGTGGGTGTTTGTCCTCACACCTAGTATGTGATGCATTATAGTATAAAAATGAAAAAAAAAAAAGAAGGATCTACTAGGCACTCCTACACCTGAATTTACCGGTTTTTTAAAGTTGCCGAGGTCAAATATATGGGTTATATCTGATTTTTAAGAATAGTTTGTAAAAATGCATAGTGCATATCAGATATTTACAAATTGTCATTAAAAATGCATAGTGCATATCAGATATTCACAAATTGTCATTAAAAATGCATATATCATTCTTCATCTCGGATATTTACAGATTGTCGTTAAAAATGCATATATCATTTTGCATATCGGATTTTTACAAATTTGTCGTTGAAAATGCATATAGCATTTTGGATATTAAAAATGTATCTAGCATAACAGGTTTTTTTTTTTTTTTTTTTTAAATTATCGATAAGAATATAATTTTGGCAGTGGATATTAAAAGTGCATATAGCAATTTTAAGATTAAGATTGTCGAAAAATTGATAGTTGTTGTAGAGCTGTGGCTAGATTTTTTTTATTTTTTAAATCCAATAGTCAAATAGTGTTTTTTAAATAATTCTTTTGGTCTTAATGAAACTTAACATAAATTTAACATAAGATGACATAACATGTGAAATTGGCCGTTCAATCACAACCATACAAAATGTTAGATATAACAAATTTAAATCATATTGTGGTAAAAATACAAAAATATTAATATAGTCTTAACCATACAACAATATCAATACAATTCAAATTAGATTGATTTCATGATTTCTTCTTCCTAATGCCTTATGCGTTTCACATGCCCTTGTTCATTAAATACAATTCTCTTTCTAGTGGTGAGTGGCGGAAGGCTGAGGACAATTGAGTTTCAACTTCCCATGAATTTAATGACTGTTGTTGACAATATGAACTTGACAATATGAACTGAAAATGATATTAAACTTATGAGACAACAAGACCAATATTACACTATATCTATAACACCTAAGATAGAGATTCTCAAAGAACTCTTAACTTCTGAAATTGTATTATAGAACACCATGACATACAAATGATTGCTTTGAAAAATTTCACCATATATCCGAACCAAAGATTACAAATCTTCACTTGTATCTAAGTAAATTTCCAATAACACGGAAACCAAATTTTTTATTAGCCTCTACATCTATTATACCTTTAAAGTTGTAATGAAAGAAAATAGGAAACTGAGCCAAGTAAAGTTGTTTTGAAGACTTGCTAGACAATTGAATTGGTGAAGCTTTACAAGATGATCTCTTGAACGTTTGACTTTCATGTGAGGAATTCACATACTCCTAATGTGAAGGATCACGATACACATCATTTCTCGTTTCCTTTTACTCTTTTTAACTCTTTTTTTTTAACTTGCAATTCACTGTTGGCTGACACATAAAAGTTGTGCATGGATATGTAAATTCATGTACCTTTTTCTTTATTTCCCTCTAACCAACAATACCTAAAGTGATGAAATACCTTTTCAACTCTTCACATTCTTCGTCTAAGTTCAATTGTGTCCTGCTCTCTTCTTTAATGACTTCGTAATCTTCAAAGTGAAGGATTCTAATGGAACAACATAATTTTGTATTTAAAGATTTAAAAATTCACACGCACAAGGTAACTCGCGTTTTGTCCTAATGAAGCACCCACATTCAAATTTGTCAGAACCAAATCTTTTTAGTATTTCGAACTCCTCCGTAAGGTGTTGCATACAATATCTTGAGACGAAGTCCTGCAGTTTTGAGTGAAATAGAGTGTTATTCTCATGCTCAATGTTCACAAGACGTTTTTGAAACAATGCTCTAATTTCACCTAGTTGCATCTTCAACATGGTGTTGATTGCATTCTAGCATTTTCATAAATTTCCCCTGTTAGACAAGATTTGTTCTGCAAGATATCTCTAAGTTTTGATAATAACAAAGTGGTATTTGTGTGAGAATAATTTTGGTACTCTTAACGTTTGTTTTTCTGAAGAATTAACAAACAGGTTCTGACTCTGATAGAGAAAGCTCCGACTCTGATAAAGATCATATTCAATGATTACTTTGATCTGACCAAAGTCGCTTTTGCGCTTCAAGAAACAAGCCTACTTCTGATCTACTCTCATACAGAAAGATTCTAAGAAGACAATATGTTGTTGCTGCAATGTTCACTTGGTTTCTGCTTCTGATTATGACTCTGATACTTTACTTTTGAAGGCTTTCAAGCTTCTGAAGTCATTATCTTCTAAAGACTAAGTGCTGAAGACCCTGAAGACAAGGTTCTGTTGAACGAAGTTCTGAAGACTCTGAAGACTTGAGTTTTTAAAGAATAAGTGCTGAAGGCTCTGAAGACAAAGTTCTGCTGAACATTATTCTGAAGACTCTGAAGACTTAAGTTAATAGTGACCAAAGATTCTAAAGACCGAGTGCTTATAGTTCTGAAGACAAGTTCTGAAGACTCTGAAGACTTAAGACTCTGAATCCCTACTGATCAACTATTCTACTCATGCTTTAATCATCTCTATTCAGAAGCCTCTGATGTAAAGAAGAAAAGCTCAAACGTCTAGGAGGGAAATAATATATAGTATGTTTTAACGTCTCATTCCACTGCTGTTCCACTGCCCTGATTTGGTGGTACAAAGGGCAACTTTTGTGTACGATTTTCATCCCCGCGTAACGACATTACTTCAAGTCGCCAGCTACCTAAAGGATATTCCTGATCTGCCCTCCAAAGGATCTTTTTCTAGCTATATAAGGACTTGATTACTTGAAGAAATTAAGAAGTTTTACAATGATTAATACAAAGGTGACACTTTCATTGAAAGCAATCTATGAAGAACTGAAACTACAATATTGAAGCACCACAATACAAAGAAAAATATTGTTCATATTGTATTAGTGTCTTTAAGACATTTAAGTTATTAATAGTGTTTATATTTTCTTGTTTAGAAGCAATTTCATTGTAAACATCTTCGTTCAAACTGTTGTTTGTAACTCCTTAAGGGACCAGTTAGATATGAATTCTTAAGAAGAGACGGTTGTCTGTGTTGTTAGTCACCAATGGTTGCTTGTGCAAATTGTAATTTCTTAAGGGACCAGTTGGATCATAATCCTTAAGAAGAGACGGTTGTCTATGTCGTTAGTCACCAGTGATTGCTAGTGCATTGTAATATGTTAATTATAGTGGATTAAGTTCTTGTGTATAAGGCGAAATCACCTTGGCGGATGAACTCGATTAGCTTGATAATTTTTAATTGAACTAGGATATATCGTGTGTCTTTCTTTCTTGATTAGTCTATTTGTGATCTTTGTTTGAGTTTCACAAAAAGCTTTCATTTTTTAAAACCCAATTCAAATCCCTTTTCTTGTGTTTTCTCACACCTTCATCCTCGACTAGTATGCAACATATTTTTAAGTTTCTAATGAGCAGACTCAACCCTATAAAACAATATTAGAGAAAAATGCAATAAATTTTTTTTATTATAATTTGCATAATAATATTAAACTTACAAGGTTATAAAATGTACCTGTTTGTTGTCGTGTTGTCCAAATGAGTAACTTGGTTAGCCTATGCAACAACAAACATTTTTTAGAGTGTCAATCATGTTTGGTTCAAATAACAAAAAAATGAAGGGGTATCGGCACATACAATCTCAAAATGTTGCAAGAGTTGCTGAAACCCAAACACCCTATCTGAATAAATGAATTTTACCCATACGGTCATAGTGTTAAATGTGGTAATAGTTTATTTTTGGGAACATTTTTTTGGTATTTACTAAAGGACATGTTGCAATGGTCAAATGAAGCAACCGTAGTGAAAGTTATACGGAGTGAAATGGTTCAAATTCCAACACCAACAATTAGCCATTTATCGTGATAAAAAGGTGATACTTATTTATATATAAGTGAAATTATCTCTTACTTCAATACATACAACTGTCTCTCTCAAAACAAAACCCTAACAACTCTTTCACTCGTCTCTCTCAAAATGAAACCCCAACAACTCTGTCACTCATCTCTCTCATATGGAAAACGCAAAACAAAACCATAACATCAAATCTTAGCCAATGGATATTTACAGGTTCGTTTTCTCTATAGTTTTTTTTTCTAAATCTACTTCAATAGTTTGTTTTATGATGTTTGAACTTCCTTCTTGTTTTGACTTATAGGTATGGATGCTTGTTTCAATAAAGAGGACGAAGCTAAAGTTAGCATTGCAAACTTGTGTCAAAGATCCAAAATGACATCCATTCAAAATATACACAAGTTTGCGACTCTAAATTTAGCTTTATCCTTATTTCATTGTTGACACGCCATTATGGTACATGTATGGTGAAGCATTTTATGACTTGATATGTTTATTGTATCGTGTTTGTTGTTTATGGCTTGTTTAAAAGATGAGTTTATTATATGTGGTTTGAGTGTTTTTTCAAGCCCTTACCGAATATATAACTTTTCAAACTGTATTAGAAAATTATGATATGATAGATAAAATTGTATTAGAAAATAAATTTACATTTAATTGTTGACAAGAATTCTTCATACTAAAACTACATATTATTCTTTGACAGTTAGCACTCGATTTAATGATTGTAGATCTTCAACCACCCCTCTC